GATTTCTTTGGAGGAAAACGATTTTACGAACTAGACAAGATACAAAGCTGAAACTTTGCAGGAATATTCTCTGTAAATGTACAAGCTAAAGATTTCAAATTCAGTTGTCGCGCACACTTGTGCACTTCAAAGTTTGTAACTTGGTACTGTGATAACGCGAAAAATTGCCGGAAAACAGTGGCTGAAATTTTGTCTGCAATTTTGTTGTCCATATGGAAATCGTATACCTAAAATGAGTATCGATTTGCACTTGCGCCACAACTTATAGCACTTCAAAGACATTTGTAGCGAAGTGGATATTTCGCTTGCCGGGTAAGGTTTGAGGCTGAAAATTCGCTGGGATATTCTACTTTCAAGTGCGGTTTTAATTCTGCTTGAAAATGAAATTCCCTGCAGGTGGGTATGAGAAATACTCAATTTTACCGAAAAATTAGAAACGAGTGCATTTTGTAGCGAATGACCGCCCTCATCCTCTCCCAACATGTAAATGAACTCATTTACATATTTGAATTTTTTGACGAACGACCGCTCGAGCAACATTTTCACTTTTTAGTGGACTGGAAATTTGCATTTTTTTCAAAAAGTGAGCATTTATCGAAACCCAGGCTCGAAAGTACCAGGTGGGCCGGTGCGATTATGCGATTTTGCACATTTCGTGCTGTAGCAAGATCGCAAGGAATCACAGTAGCTAACCCTACGACATACAAACCCTCGAAGTTCGGGAAGTTAATTATGCAGCTGTGTGGTATGTCAGTTGTACACGTCGCCTTCAGTGACCCGGCAAATGGAAAGTTGCTGGTCCGCAAAAGAGGAGTTAAATTTGAAATCTTTTGGTCGCACATGAGTAGGGAACACTACCTTAGGGTTTCAGCTTTCTAGCTTTTTTCATTCCGGGGTTAGTAATTTCCGCGCCAAAATTTCCACGTGCCCGTACTTTGGCCCGGGTGCTTCTAAACACTTGGTTTTGCTCGTACATGAGTGGAGAACATTCCCCTAAAGTTTCAGCCTTCTACCTTTTCCCGTTCCCGGGTTAGCAATTTTCGCGCTAAAATTTTCACATTTAGCGTACGCGGATCTTGGACGCCTCCAAACAACTGTTTTTGGTTGTACATGAGTAGGAAACATTCCCCGAAACTTTCAGCTTTCTAGCTTTTCCCGTTCCCGGGTTAGTAGTTGTCGCGCCAAAATTTCCATGCGCCGTACGTGAGCCCGGGCGCATCCAAACATCTGATTTTGCTCGTACATGGATAAGGAATATTGCCGTAAAGTTTCAACTTTCTAGCTTTTCCCGTTCCTGGGTTAGTAATTTTCGCACCAAAATTTTCACGTGCCCGTATATAAGCCTGGGGACGGTCCTAAAAGGCTGATTTTGAAAGCTTTTGGTCGTGCGTGAGTAGGGGACATTCCCCCAAAGTTTCAACTTTCTACCTTTTCTCATTCTTGAGTTATGTATTTTGCTGCCATAATTTTCACGCGCTGGTACGTAGGCCCCGGGCAGTCCTGGGCAGCTGAATTTGAAATCTTTTTGTCATACACGGGCAGGGAACATTTGTAACCCTATAATTATGCAATTTCCCTCCTCTCACTAATTCCTGATACTTCGACCTACTTCCCCCGTCTTACTAACTTCTAACAAATTCCACCAAATTCTAAATGTTTCTATACTATCTACTTTCTACTCATTAACTAATTTGCTCTCCTTTTCCCTCCACTAATTCTCCCTATATAAACCCTTCCTAGATCCAGATCCATGGCCAGTTAATCAGTTAGTTAAGTTCGACAAATCGTCAGTCAACGGCGCCGCTCCACCGTCAAGTCCAACGCCTCTATCGTCTTCCCTCTCCACCGCCGGCGTTCTGTTGCACAGTTTGTGCGGTGCCCCGGCTCATCGTTTACGCGTCATTTTCGTCGTTTCCTCTGGAGTGAAGTGTTTA